TCCTTTTCCTACCCCTACTCCTACTCCTACTCCTACTCCTACTCCTACTCCTACTCCTACTCCTACTCCTACTCCTACTCCTACTCCTACTCCTACTCCTGCTGCTGCTGCTGCTGCTGCAGTGCCACCGCTACTGCTGCTTTCTATGGTGGGGTTGATATGCGTTCATGTTCTTCGTGCTGCCAGTTTAGGATCCATATTGAGCACTGTTGGAGTAATTGCTATTTGCTGCTGCTGTGCAGCTGCTGCTACTACAGCGGCAGCTGCTGCTCACCCTGAGCTTGGTGCTTCATGGGCGGTGTCTTGACAGTCTGGCTGGGCAGACGGAGTCAAGCCTGGGGNNGATCGCTCTTCAAGGGAAAGCGAGAGCGAATCTCAAAGATAAAGTATATTGTGAAACTTTCATACTAATCCCGGTTGGCGGCGTGGTCATGTCGCCGTGTCTTTCTGTGGCGCTCGCCGCTCTCATCGTCCTTCATTTCAAAACGTTTCCACTTTGCCTACAGTGCCTACAGGTCTACAGAGCTTTTGAACTTTCCATGTGGATGACCTCAAGGTCGTTCTCAAAACGTCTTGACAATCTCGATCCCTATGGCTTCCGCTACTTGTAGCATATTTTTCGTGACCGTATAGTGTTTTTGGAAGAGACCATCCATGTCCCAGCCGAATAAATTTTGCAGACAGCATCCATGACCAAATCCTGATAATGTCCATGGCCCACTGTGACTTTAGAAGACAGCACCGATGCCCCCAATATCGTCGTGGCTTAAGCCAAGCAAGCCATAGATCCTGATTGCCACTCCGGGATCCTCAACAGCTATTGGAAGGAACTCTAAGAGTGCTTGCCATCAACTATTCACAAGTCTCACCCGAAGCGACTCGGTGTGATCCCGCATGTCTACGACTAGATGTTCCAGAATCAATCCCTAAGGGTGAAAAAGGACCCAATAATTAGGTACTTTGGTTACGGATAGTAGTTACCTAGGTTGATATCTGGGAGAGTATGATTATTAGGCACTTGGACCCTTAGGGAATTACCTTCAAAAACAGCCCTGCCGTAACTCAGAGTGCAGAGCTTCGAAAGCAGTGGATCCGCTCGGGGGTACAAACTAATGCACCAACTCTTGCATCGCCTGAC